AACCTTCGGCTCAGTGCCACCAAAGCAAACTCCCAGAGCACAGGGACTGGGATATTTGCTCTGACCGAAGCAACAACAAACCCCCCAAACACTGAAGGCCACTCCTCCCCGATCTTCAGCTCCCAACAACTAGACTAGAATCAACACTCGCCAAGGGCACTCACAAGATAATCTCAGAGCCACTATGTTACACCTTTCACGTTACCTCACCGGTAACATCATCTGTATTCCTTCCCCCCTCGACATCACCATGCGGCACCACCCCATCATCACTGTTAAGCCACTAAAGAAAAAAGAAGCAGCAAGGAAAGTCATGCCTACAGGTCAAAGATGCACTCTGAAGGGTGCACGATCGCCAAGCCCGCGCAACACCTCCCGCAAAAAACCCAGGGTGAAGTCTCACCGAAAAGACCGCCTCGAAAACCCTCCTTATCGATTGGATCAAAATTTTCGGGATAGGCCACACAAAAGCCCCCAACTGGACCCGGTAGGATGGGCACCGGAAGAGGTACTCTGCCTCTCCAAAATATCCCCAACTCTGACAAAGCAGCTCATGCGCCTACCAAAGGCTCCTTGCATGTCCCTTTCAGAAGATAAGACCTAAGGGCCACCAAAACTTCTTAATACGGATTCCAACAATGAACTTTGAGATCAAAAATCACTTCTTTTTTCGAATGTTGCACTTCTCGCTCCTCTCAAGGCATAGCATTCGTCGGGGCAAGTTGTTATACATCATTTTTTACTTACCTTAGTCCCTCAAGCAACTAAAAGAGAGAGCAGGCGACAACCTAGTCACAGCGGCACGCAAGACATGACCGCACGGTGTTTGTAGCCGAGAATAAGCCTCGAATAAGAATGACCAAGGGAAAAGCACCTGCGTGCCCAAGAGGCGAAGTCTTATACCACCACTGTGTACACAAGAGCTTGATAACATGCCAAACAACCATTGTCGTCACCTTCCAAGGGAAATGGGCCTGGGCTCAATCGGGTCAACTCAGGAGCACTTAGCCCAAACCATCGCGAAGTAGGGTAGAGGCACGCTTTCGTCGTATGGCCTCGCCGATCCAGTCAACAGCCATGGAGATTTTCGACAATCCTCAATGAGCTAGCCACTCTGTCCCTGCAGCAGAAGAGCAGCCAAGGCATCAGACGCCTGCGAAGCCTCAACGACACCATCCCCCTAAATAAGCAAATACGAAGACAAGTCTGCCCTGTGAAGGAATAAATAAGGTCTGAATTCAGGGACGCCAAAATCTTCAGAAAGACGTCTTGGCCGTCATAGAGAACTCGCCTACGCGAAAACTAACCCCAAAAGAACACTTCCAGAAAAAAACCCAAGTCAACACAACAAGTGGCATTCAAAACGAAATTGAAAAGGCACGAACCAAAGGTCACAAAAGAAAACAAAATCCCCTGTCTCCAAAATCCCTTTTCCGGTGATTTCTCGAAAACACAAAGAACATCACAGAGCAAGGACCAAAAAGCAAACTAAACCTGTTGTAAAAACACTGAAAAGACCTTCTCCAGGCTCGCAGTCAACACAGAGACACCATAGATCAGGAAAGAAATCATCGAAGAGTTCATAAACTAACCAGACTCCTCTCACAAAAGAGATTACCGCAGCACAATCAAAACGATCACAAGAAAACGAACGTCAAGAATATAACAATAGATCGACCAAAATCACGCTTCAAGTACCCGAAAAGAGCTCTCAAAGTTTGGCCCAATTGCAAGCCTCCTATGAACTTCAATTTGGACCCCAATCACAACTTTTCTTTTGTTGTCTCGATGGTCTTCGAGTCATGATCGAGATGCATTCATTTTGGGTCTGAGATGATGGTCAGATGTCGAGTTACAGCCGAAGAAGCAAGGAGAGGTCGCACAAACTATATTTTGCATAACCATAGAAACTTGCAAATTTCTATCTAAGATATCTTTTGATCCAACTGTTCATCACGAGCGAAGCTTATACCAAATGAAAGTGCTCGGCGAGGAGTGCAACATATCTGAATTTTACCATGATCCACTTCACCGATTGGCAAATACAGTGCCGTTAAGTTTGTTCACTCCATACCCATCAAAGATCGGCAAATACCGTTTGGTCTTAAAACCATCAAATATAAAATTAAAGGTGTTCTTAATGATTTTGTGCACTCCATACCCCTACACAAGTGGTCTACAATCCCCTTATATCGACCTTAACGTTTATTTGCGTTCCAACTTCCAATTGAGTTTGAATTTGGGAAATGTCTTTTGAGTTGATGGTATCTACCTTCACACTTCTTTTGGCATCAATCCGACATCATCGGGGTGCTTTTCAAAACATGGGCCTTGTTATGCATTCCACAATGGTGCAGGCCAGAAAGGCCCAAATGTGATGTGGCTTTTACTGGGTGAGTCCCCGGCTGGGAAAAGTGGGGGCTTCACTTTTTTTTAGCCCCGGATGAATATGTGAACGAGGCTTGTCGTGTATTTCGTACCCAAAAGTTACAGTTGCTATCATGGCCTCTGTTGTTCACATGGGGGGTGTGGTGGCTTAAAAATACATGCAAACATAGCCCCAAAAAAAAAAAAAAAGTCCCTACCAATTTGATGTAATTGTTAGGTTTGTACATAGAAGACCTTAAGAGGGATTACAAACAGAAGCAAAAAGCCCATGACATACACGCACACGAGGCTTAAGAGATCTTTGTAAATAAAAATAGCTCTTCCTTGCACCGCGTGCAGTTCACATCTAATGGGCCACACCAATGATAAAGAGACGAGAAATATAAAAATGAATATGGTGTAGTCTACAAGGGTTACTTCTCATGCCCCGACCAGGATACAAGGAGGGAGGTTCTATCTTAGGACGGTTTCCATGCAACAACCATCATATTAAAATCGACTAATAGGCACAATGGCAAGTTAAAATAAAAATGCATACCCTGATAACATGCACATGGATTAAATACTATAAGACCTTATAATATTGGTACAAGGTCATAATCAATCCCGAAAAAGAAATTAGAACTCAAGGCTTTGAGTCCAGTCAATAGCACACCCCTATCAATCCCACTTTCACATCTATAAAGTTTGATAAATTTGAACTCAAGGCTTTGAGTTCAGTCAATGGCACACCTCTATCGAAAGCACTTTCACATATATAAAGTTCGATTTCACATTTAACAACTAAAGGCGAACGTAATTTTTTTATATCAAAGATTAATTTTACAATAATATAACTTATATACATACAATTTATATAAGGAAAAGTATATAATGAGACCATTTATCCTTTGATAAATGATATAAAGTGATCACAATTGATCTTGACCATTGGATGTAAAATTGGATGATAGCATTTATTTCATTGACTAAACTTAAAATTCAAAAAAAAATTTCAAACTTTGTGACACATCCAAACTGTCAATTTTCACATGACATGGTAGTAACTGATTGTGACCTTCCTACATAAAAGGTAAATGGTTTCATTGTATACAATCCCTTTATATAAAAGACGTACCTTAAACAATCAAAATGCACATCCAAACAACGCTAGAAGTTATAGTTATCCCGACAAATCAAGAGCTGTATGACCACTTGAAAATAGAAGGTTTAAATAATATGGTACAAAATACGTTATTTTTAAAACTTAAAATTCTTTTTATTTTCAAATCATATATCTTTAGGTCAAGATGATCGATTTGGAAATTTTTTGCACCAAAACAACATTTTCCAATAGATTTTTGACGTGCAGCACTTATATAGTACAATATAAGATCAACACCTTGTATAAACTTTTCTACTCATATATATATATATATATA